CGGTATAGAAAGAATCCAAAAAAAATTTATTAACCATTTAAATTATCGGTTTCGACTATCCGACTTACATACATATAATGAGTCGTGTAACCATCACGATATAATGACACTAGAAAACCGAAGAAAACTAATCGACTTATGCCTTTTGAGTGACATAGTGTCTGGCCGCGTCGACTGCACGGAACTCGTTAACAGCATTGAGTATAATGTTCCTGCATGTCGCACCCGTCGTCGACCATTAAAATTACTCAGAATTCCTCCAACGAAAACAAGAAGCGCACGTAATGCTCCTTTTTCCCGCTTGCCTCAGATTTATAACACAAATTTTAATGAAATTGATATCTTTAACTGTAGCAAATCCCTAATGAAAAAACAAGCAAAATCACTTCTGTCCATACCTCAAAATTAATTAATTTCTGTCGCGGCTGTACTTGCTTATTATTTTTGGAGCTTTGTGAAGGTAGGTAGGTCAACGAACTGCGTAGGTGAATTTTTTTTTTAGTATGCACAAGAAATGTCTAATGTCAAGTCAACAGTCAAAATATCTTCTTTACTTAAATACTATCTTCGTTTTCTACAGGTGACAATATTGTTAGGTATTAATTAAGAATTATTCTAATAAATTTCTAATAAGGATCACATGTACTTAGTAAAAATACGACAAGTATTTTGCATTTTAGAATACAATTTTGTATGTAAAATTTTGCCATTGAGTATATATATGCATTTGGAAGACAGTACATTTAATAAATAAGTAGTTATGTGGCCTTACTAATATCATAAATGTGTAGGTTTGTATGTTTGTTACTCAATCTCGCAAAAAATGCTGAACGAGTTTGATTGAAAATTGGTACGCATATGGTTTGTGACCTAAATTGATACAATGGAGCGCTTGTTATACCGAAGTAATTTAAAGTTCCAAAAAACAAAACCAAAATAATACATCAAGAATATGTTTACTTGTTATTATGTAATCTATTATGCAGTGTTAAAGTAAGGTAACTTGATGGAAATCACCGTATATTCTGTACTTACATATTTTGTGAACTCCGTTTCACCGTAATTTTTAAAGGAGACCTGTAATTGGCCTTTCGTTATAACTAAACCTGTAGTAAATTTGTAATTAATACGCTGTTGGTTTCTAAAAATAAATAAATAAAAAAAAAGTTCGAGATAAAAATAATGTTTTTTTTTATTTTTAACTACCTATGCCTACTTCACTAAAAATAAATACCTATAACTACTTTAATTAATAAAAGTACCTACGCTTAATAATTTGTAATTTGAACGAATATTTAAACACTACCAAAACAACTAATACGTGGTCCTAACTTTAGCTACCTTACACTTAAAATGTAATATATTCTTATAGAATAGGGAAGATGCAATATTTTTATTTTTGTTTTCATTTTAAAGAATTCCATGTAGAATAAACCACAGATATATTAAAAAATTAAAACATTGTGATTTATCGGAAAAAATGCGGTATTAAATTGACAATTTAAATTTTCGCGCGAAAACGAACCTATGTTTGCGATGACGTCACTCCTGTGTACTTGTTCCTTGCTGGCTTTAAATTTTCATACTGTTGCATATTTTTTCGAATTTCGAAATATTTTTTTGAAAAATTTAAAATGGACTATCCATCAACATCATGTGATCATAACAATACCACTAATATTCCGAAAAAAAGCCGTGTTGACTCATGTTTTGTGCCAATCTACTTCAACAAAGTTCCCAAATAAATTGTTTTTGACTGGAACTTCTGACACAAACCTGAAAAAAAACCTGGTTTCAAGCTGCGAAGAGAAATGACATTTATTCTCCAAAGACCATTATTCGATGCTGAGAAGATCACTTTGACGTAAGTCGGCGAATATACTTGTTATATGCTTAATTAATCTGCTTGTACGTAAAAACGCATTTGTAATTTAGACATAGCCGATTGCATTATCGCCGTAAGATTTGTAGAAGCCGCTGAATAAAATACGAAGTTTAACAACTACGATTTTTACATACCGTAGTAATTTAGTCCCTTTCATTTCTACACTTAAAACTCTGCATTTTGGACAAAAAAAGTTATAACCATGTCAACGCTAACTCTTGGTAAATTCCTGGAGTCTGCTTTGATAAACGCAACTTCCATTTTTATTAAATGTAAAAAAACGCAATAAATATTCCCATAAAATAATATTTACTTTATCAACCATAACCTCAAAGAAGTTGTCATAACAGGAGTGACGTCACTAAACGCTGATTGGTGTTTTAAAATACGTTCCGTTTCAAGTATTTTTAATTCGTAATAATTGTCAAAAAACAACATTATGTAAAATAAAAACGTTGCAGTGGCATTTCTTTTATATTTTTTTAACATTTTAATCATAAAATTTTCATAAATATTATATATGCATCTTCCCTATTATAACCAGAAATATATACAACTCACAACAAAAAAGAAATGAAAACAAAGCTGAAACGCCTGTGCAATACTATCTACCCATACCTACTTCACTTAAAAATAAATACTTATAACTACTTTAATTAATAAAAAGTACCTACGCCTAATAATTTTTAATTTGAACGAATATTTAAACAGTACCAAAACAACTAATACCTATTTTACAAAATAACAACAAAAGAAATTCAAATAAACTATTTAAACACTAAAAGTCACGCTGATAAGCACGGTTTCTCAATATCAATTATTGTCTGTCAATAAGGTCGAACGCTCTGAACGCATCAACAGCCAAATATTGAATGAAGCTTTTTTTTTCTTCCCAGGCGGGGGAGCGGGTGAGAAATTCTCATGGATACCCTACAGCCGGCTGCAAGGTTATGTCAGACTCGTACTGACTAAAAAACACCCGGGGTTTTTTGGCGGGATTTCATCGAGTGCGGTTGGCGTCTTATTTTAATTATTCTTAAATTCGTTCATAGTGGATATTGTGAAATAAAATTGGTGTGGTTTTGTGTAACAACTGTCTGCGTAACTGAAGAAATAGTGGAATCATTAAAATATACGCTATTCCGGTCAAGTGGACGTGAGAATTTTACTGTAGTGTTGACTACCTCACAGAAGCTTATCGAAAAAGCCAACTCGATACATTTCGTGCCAAACACTCCAAGAAACATTAGAATGCGTCACACCGACATTCTAATGTAAAAACAAAAAGAAGATAAATTTAATTAAAGATCAGGCTGTATGGGCATTGTTCCCCTTGCCTTCCCTAAAACGGGAGAACTTTAACAAAAAAAAAAAATAACACCCGTAGGGGCTGCCTCTGGCCGGGAAGGCCTCTAAGGCTTCATCGGAAGCGATCGTTCCCCCCCCCCCCCCCCTCGGACCTCCCGCCTTTTTATACCCTACCGCGCCCCGTTGCGACCCGTGTCGAACGCGGCAACCGTTACACAAAAATAATCCTTATAGCATGATTCAGTATTCACGTGGGACGGCGCGATGGCTTATTTCATGTATAAGTTTGGTGTTTCTATACCGATTTCTATGATTCTTTTTTTATTGAATAGGTAATAATGTTAACTTTTCTAAATTAGGGATAAATGAGAGTATTATAAACGTAAGAGTAAACAAATATAATCAGAATGTTCCGAACTGCTAAGCTATCAGGAGTTACACGTGTTATTGTGAGTCAACCATAAAAGATAGACATATGCTGTTGCGGGATATTTTTTAGACAATTTTATGTAGAATATTTCCGTCATACATGATTTCTATGTAACTTTAACCATTAAGGCTGCACACGCGACGGAAGCTTAAAAAATGGAGTAACTTCTCACGTTTTCCCAACATTTCCCTTCACTACTCTGCTCCTATTGATTGTAGCGTGATGAAAAGTATACTATAACCTGCCCAGGAGTATTAAGAATAATTGTACCAAGTTTCGTTAAATCCGTCGAGTAGTTTTTGTTTCTATAAGGAACATACAGACATACAGACAGACAGACAAACAAAAATTTTACTGATTGCATTTTTGGCATCAGTATCGATCACTAATCACCCCCTGATAGTTATTTTGAAAATATATTTCATGTACAGAATTGACCTCTCTACAGATTTATTATAAGTATAGATTACAATTAAAGAATTTCCGCACAGTTATAGTACAAAGCACTATGTATCCCTCGAAAGAAAGTGCTATTCCCAACTTGGGTGTATTAAGGCCCTTGGCTGCGCCTCGAGCCCCAAACTACAACACCCTCGTTGGTAATCGGTCACTTTCTCCTCTCGGTGAACAATGTACTATATCTCGAGCTCCTCTGTGCTTCGGAAGGCACGTTAAGGTGCGTATGTCTCGACTAATCAGTACTGAGGTTAGTAGGTCATGGCCCAATCTGAATTGTGTGGGTGTCGTTTCTACGGCCAATGATAGCCCGCTTTCACATGTATCGCAGTTACCTATGCTTGTTTTGTAAGCGATTGTGTTAAAGAAAGTGTTCCACTTACTCGTTTCTGTAAACAGAGTATAATACTGATAAAATACAGAATCACGCAGGAAGTCCGAACCCTAAACCAAAACGCGAGGCCCTGTGCCGACTAGTGGTTGCAGATGCAATCGAGACCAACAGCTAAATGTGCTTTCCGAGGCACGAACAGCTCGAGACCAGCTTTAATATTTTTTTTAAAGAATACTTGGGGTGTACAGTCGATACCGAAACCAAAAATATATTTTTTTAAATTTTTGTCTGTTTGTCTGTATGTATGTCCGGGATAAACTCAAGTTCTGCATGGATTTACTTCCAATTTGGCACGAATATCACGCTATCAACTACGGGGAACGAGCAGTGAACCTTTATTTATAACTAACTCCACGCGTACGAAATCGCAGGCGGCCGCTAGTATATAATAATAACATATTACAGTGAAAAAAATATAACATTTCACAACATTTGGTTGGATCATACCACACCAGCTGCTTTTGAGAACAAGTTTTTTTATACCGTAGGATTATTTTGTGTAGTAATCTCTTTGAATCAAATCTTACCTCGATTTATAACGATTTCTCTGCAACCTAACAAAGTCGACGACATCTAACATGATTTGTATTATTATTTTCTGGTTTTGATCTAAGGCGCCAGTTTTCTTATAATCAACGCTCTCTACGCTGCTTCCAACGTCATTGTCGTAAGATATTTCCGAAAAGTGGTTGAAGAAATTATTTATTTGCCCACAAATTATTTTAATGTGCTTCTCTGATGAAAAGTATATCAGTGCACCAATCAGAGCCGGAAAAATCTTTCGACAGACCTGAGGCTAAAAAAAAAGTATAAACATAACAAGTTAATAAAATAGTAAATTTTAAAAGTTAAGGTAAAGGAGTGGAAATTAAATAATTAAACCTTTAACTCGCAAACTTCTCGAAGTGCATTCAAATAATTCAATTCTGAAATGAGAACATTTATAATGGCGATTGTGTGCTTGACTATCCATGGGCTATGAGTCTCATTGGTATCCGGTACCATAAAGTCTAAGTCAGCGATTTGATTGAATTTGGCATCATCTATTTTAAACGTAGCTACTTCACTGCCTTGGTCCGATGTGAAAGCTTTTAATATTTGCCTTTCAATTCCATCCGAATCTGTAATTTAATTATAATACTGTGTAAGAGTAACCAACGAAAAACGTGTTAAAAAATGAAAATTTTGTAATATTATTTAAGTACTGTATATATGTGTATGGATGAATAATCATAATAAAAAAATTGGGTGATAGCATTTGAATCCTTATTCAAACATAGACAACATAGACATATAAACATAGACATGAATAATGGTTTACTGTTTCATTTCTTTGGTGTCCAAGGCCTTTAATTCTACACCCTGCAAAGAAAACTAAACAGCTAGAGGATTTCGTCTTTCTTTCTAAAATGGAAAAAGTTATAGGTTACCTATAGCTTCCTCTCCTTCCTTGAATTTCAACAATCGGTTCAATGTCTTAGTGACCTTATTGGTGACCTGGGGATTCTCGTCGAAAAGCACTTCAAACAATGACGTCACTACAATAGACGCTAGCGTTTGCCTCGGTTCCCCGCCCACTATACGTTGCGTGTCTATCGGCGGCAATGTAACTAATGTCTTTAGATCATACGTTCCGATCTCAGCGAGACAGTTGCACGCTTCTATTATAGTCTGAAATTTAGCAAAAACCAATGAATAATTTTATTCTAACAAGGCATAATACAATTCTTTTGAATAGTCAAAGTTTTCGATGTGTAACATCTTTCCTCTCGCTTTGTAAGTGTAGTAAGTAAGTAAGTGTAGTAGTGAAGTGTGTAACAGGAAGTTTGGGAAGCGCGCGCTATTTGATTTGATTTTAGAAAATATGTTCAAATGGCTTATTCCTTTTGTAGAAGGTTTTATTAAGCTATTGAATAGATTTTATCACTGGCTTTGAGCGCGGCGACCGAATCAAGAAATTTCGTAACGAAAAAAACCTTACACCCCCTGAATAAACTTTTGGTTGTGGTGGGATGTTCAATTGAAAGGCTGAAGTATATCCATACAATTTTAATATGGCAACCAGCGAAAAAAGCCCATTACAATGGTATAAAACATACTTATATAAACACCAAAATCGAACCATACCGCAATTCACAATAACTTAGCGCAATCTGTGAGGCGGTTTTAACTAATTTTGTCCTATTTACTAATAAGTTAATAGGCTGAACAAAACCATATCACAATTCACAATGCATCAACGCCATCTATGAGAGGTGTTATAAACTAATTTAATATTTTAGTTTGTTTTTTATTTATTTATTTTTATCGTTTTACATTTATATAATTTCTATATATTAACATTTAATTATTGGTATATTACTGGTGTCAATTCTGGCAGGATTATATAAACTTAAAACTAAATTTAACATCAGTCTGTCCTTTTCATTCTATATAGAGAATGACAGAGATACACTGTTGTCAAATTTAAGATTAGCTTTAGAGAATCATGCCAGAATCGACACCACTGTAGTTATAAATCTTATACATGCCGCCACATACTGCAAAAATGTTCTTAAAAAGGGAGAGTAGATACATCATCATTAGTATATAAATTATACCCCTTTTTTAATCTGTATAAAAGGACTCATGTTTACATGCAAAAACATAACATCCTGGAACTAAATATCATTATAGTGAAAATAAAAATGAATCTAACTCATAATTATATAATATGTATTATAAAAAATAATATTACAAATTTAAGATATTGGAAGTACACATAGTTTCGAAATGGGTCTTTTTATCAATGTGTCTTTAATAATTCCTTTACAATGCTAGGTATGACAGCGTGCCTTTTGGCCGCGACTAGTTGAACCTTAACGTGCGTGTATATGGTACGACTGTACGAAGCTCGCACGGCTCGAGACGAGCTGCTCCGAAATCAGACGAATACGTAAGCAGCTGTATGTGAGAAAGTATTTAGGTGTATAAGTATATCTCATCTATGTACAACAGTGAATAGCTGTACGCGTAAAATTTGTATATAACGTGTTTTAAATATGAATAAACAAAGTACTGCATAAATAAAATAAATAAATAATTATAATTGCATAAGTTGATAAAAAATGCTATGCAATAGCTTTACCGCGGCAGTCCCCGAGTGCCACACGTATTTTTTTCTTTTTTTACTAATATAAGATGAGGTTTCAAATGTTACACATCATACGCGACGCGACTACTGTAAGGCTCGCTCGGTTTTATTCTTTAATCATATGTTTTCATAATAACATAATAGATTTACCTTCCGATTGACTTGATATTTCAATATATTGTTCAGTTCGTATATAATTTGGTGTATAATACTATTTCGACAGTCCTCTGAGAACCGTATGTTCACTAGGTTTTTACACAAATCATTTACATGATTTTTGTTAATTTTTAAAAACTGATGTAAATTTACCAGAGAATCAAAACTGAAAATAAATACACTTATTCATTTAACAAAAAAAGAAATAAACAATTGAAAAATAGTAAATTAATTCAGTTGGTGTACAGATTCCGGACTTGCCGGATAACTTGAACTACGCGAATATCGACTTTATTACCACATAACACAACAATATCAAGTTGAAACTACAAACAGGACTTTGACTATGCATACAATCAATAAGAACTAAAAATGTATTTATCAAAGTAACTCGCAAACAAGACCAAAGATTCATGCAACAAGAGTACCTACTGTAAATATCAACCATCACAAACAAGCTATAGCTTTTGTTTTAACGTTTAGCTGCATTTTTTATTTAAATGTTTAGTACACAAACGATAAAATAAAAAACGTTAGATCAAAATGTTAATTATAATATTTTATTAGAAAAAAAAACAACTCCGCTGCAATTGAATCAGGGTCTTCACTGCCCTAGCCAATTTACCGATCACAATGCTTGCGAGGCCATTAACGGATGTGTCAAATTAGTTCTAGTGTATCTTAGACTGTAAAGTAGATAATTGATAAAGATAAATTTAGTTTGCAACCAACTGTCAAGTCAAACCTGCGATAGTATGTAAAAATATCGAAAGCCCTTTTAAAAAAATATTCAAAGAAAAGAACAATATTAAAGAATAGGCTCTTACCTTGGGGAGTTCAAGGCAATCTTGTACGTTTCTAGCCTCTCGGAAAACTCATTTAATGTCCGACAACTCAAGTTTTCCACATTACGTTGAGACGACATGGATCTAATAAAATCGACCACATCCCCTTGCTCCTTTATGTAATCTTTCATATCCACAACCAAGTAGTCCAGTAGATCATTGCATTCATATTGAAAACCTTCTTCCTTCTTAATTATCAGAATGGACATTAACTGCGATAGAGCCTTCCTCAAAACGTTCACTTCAGCAGGTAGTAATCGCATTAAAATAGTTTTCAATGCATGTGTCAAAACTTTTACTTCTCTTTTATCCTGTGTCTTTTTAATTGCATAACCGAAACAGTTGCTCACGTAATTGCATACGAAAGCGTCCGCGGGCGCAACCAAAGGGATGCATTCAACAAATGTTTTGAATGTGTGTATACAGAGCACTTTTAACTCTATAACATTTTCTTGCAATACATTTTCCCACAGTTTCAGCAATATTTTAAATATGGCAACTGGTTGATTTTCGCAGAGATATAACATGATATTGCCATCTGTAAGTTCCTGGAATGAAATCAGAATGTTAATTATTTTAATACACGATATTTATGTCACAAAGTTCGATTGCGTAATGGTTGAGGCTTAACAACTTTATAATAGGTTATCAATTGTGTGATCAACAACGTTATTATTTTATACCTTTCTTTCTGTCTTTACGACTTGATTCGAAAACTGGCAATCACGTTATATCTAATCTTAAACATAGCGACGCAGTGTTCTGTTTACATCAGTGAAATCATGTTTTTGAAGTGAAAACTTCTTTAGCGGCGTTGTACACTTTTTAGTAGTGGGTAAAAAATGTTAAATTTGCGTCAGGACACGTGGCCTGATCGCGTCAGGACACGTGACCTAATCGAAAATTCGTAAGACGAAAGCAATAAATTGGAAAGGTTGTTGACTTTCAATATATTGAACGAAACATAGTAATATTTTATTTTATCGTATTTTATAATAAGTCTCTATCTAGGTCGTCCAGGTGACAGATTTATTGCAAAGAAAATGCATTTTTTTACAATAGATGTCGCTGGGTGCGCTTAAATGTGATTAATGTAAGTTGATTTTTGTGAAAGATAAACTTTTTAATGTAATATAAATTGTCATATTTGTGTACGATAACGCAATAAATAAATATAATATTCTACCACATAAATGATAGTACTTTTATACTGATAATTAAAGCAATTCGTGCAAAATTATTCCCTAACCATTCCAAAATACCAAATAATGCACAACGTTAATATTCAAGTTTTCACTTCTGCCGGCACTCCCGTAGTGCAACCCGTCTTTTTTTTATAGATTATTCCGACAAATGACTCCACCCCACCTGATGTTAAGTGACGGTGAAATTCAGACGTTGAGATAGCTGGTACAGCAGTTCCACCTGCCACACCAGCTATCCTGCTGGCCTGCATGTTGCTTTTTCACGCCTCTTTTAAAGGACCCCAGGTTGTATGAGGAAGGGAACACGTGAGCAGGCAGAGCATTTCATTTACGGATAGTCCGACAAAGAAATGAGTCACCAAATTTATTTGTACACGTTGGAATTGTGGCCACAGTTAGACGGTGACAACGTAGGCCAGCGCGCGTGGTCCTCTGAAGGAAAGGAGAAGGTGGAATAAGAGAGAATAACTCCTCAGAACACTCGCCGTGGTACAGACGATAGAACGCGCTTAGTGACGCCACGTCACGGCGTAATTGAAGAGGCTCGAGATGTTTAGTCACCTCCTCATCGCCTATGATGCGGATCGCGAGCCGCTGTAACCTATCCAAAGCATCGAGCAAGTCCTTGGCGAAGCTATCCCAGAGGTGCGAGCAATATTCCACGCAAGACAACTTAATACAACAAGCACAGTTGCTCGGACGTGAAAAAGCGCCACACCTTATTCAGGACTCCGAGTTTACGTGAGGCCGTTTTTACTACGCTTTCGATGTAATTCTTTTCATTTAAGTCACAGCGAATTTCCATACCGAGTATAGGGATACTACTCTCTAGCTCCAGTGTTGTGCCATGAAGAAAAGGACATGCAAGGAATGGCAAAGTTTTTGCTGTGAAAGCGCGGACCTGGGTTTTCTTAGCATTGAACTCAACCAAGTTTTTGGTACCCCATTCAGAAATGTGGTCCAAAGCCTGATTGAGTTCAATGTCAAGATTTTCCCGTTTCTCCTTGGTTACCGCCTGTCCAGCCGCTGCTTGTCCGAGATACCCCGCATGCACTGCACTGTACTGTCGTCTACATAGCAATGAATATACCCAAGAGGATAAGTCATTGATATGCAGCAGCAAGAGAGTGGCGGACAGGACGGAGCCCTGAGGAAGGCCGGCATTCACTGACATGAACCGCGGACTTATACCATCCAGGACACGAATTCAACGCTTATGCAGGAAGTCAGCTACCCGGGAACTGAACTGGGCCGGCAGACCGTATGCCGAAAGCTTAGAAAGAGAAAAGGCTTTTGTGCCAGACCCTGTCGAACGCCTTAGCAATGTCAAGGCTGATAGCCAACGATTCGCCACGCTAATATTCAAGTCAATAGCCTCAGATATGAGTCAAGTACGCTAGAAGATCACCCGTTTATCGTTTTGATCTAAAACTATACTGACTATCATTAATCTGAAAGTGATCCTCTAGGTAGCGGGTCAGATGGTTGTAAATGACCTTTTCTAGGACTACATTATACTGTGACTGTTATTGGCCGGTAGTTGCCCGGGTCTGAGCGTTCCCCTTTTTTGGGCACCGGTTGCACGTTGGCATCTCTCCAAGTCACCAGCGCACGCCCCAAACAGTACGAGCTTTGGAACAAGCGCGTGAGCACGGGAGACAACTCTGCTGCACATTTTTTAAGTACAACTGTTGGGATGCCATCAAGTCCACTAGCTTTCGGGACGTCGAGTGATTGCAATTGCAATGCGAACCACACACTGTCTGATTTTAATATCAGATATCGTTGTGCCACAATGAGATGGTGGTGGCAGTGCATTGCAATCATCGACTTGGGAGTTAGCCGAAAAGAGTTTTGTCAGTAATTCTCCTGTGGCTTCTGGGCATCTCAGAGGTGGCAGCGAGGGCTGGTAAAAGTTCTTCTGCACGGCCTTGGCCAAACGCCAGTAGATACGGCAGCCCTAAGGATGCGTTTTAAGTTCCTGACCAACACGTGCAACGCGCTGGGCATCCGCTCTTATAAAGTAAGCCTTCTTACAGGCCTTGGAAGCAAAATTGTAGGCTGCATTTAGTGAATTGACCTCGAGATCCTTAAGAGCGCGGCCTCTGATCCAAGAACGATATTCCGCTTGCTTAAGCGAAACAGCTTCAGCACAGTCGCGATTGAACCAGAGGTTTTGTATGCCCTTACTGATGTGATTAGAATATGGAATATAGTATTCCAGACTCATTATAATCTCCTTAGTAATAGCAACGGCGCTGGTCGATAGGTCCCTGTCACCAAAGCAGCATATTTAGCATTTGATAAACACAAACAAAATACTACGTACTTAATGACGACCTGCGTGGCCGAGTGGTTTGTACGCCGGGTTTCAAGGTGTCGCCTATACGAGAGGTCTCGGGTTAGAATCCTGGTGGGGGCAGATGTTTGTGTGATGAATTCGAGCATTTGCACTCCAGTCAAGGATGTGTAATATGTATTTCTATATAAATATACTTATATATGTATCAGTTTATGTATTCTATCCGTTACCCTAGTATCCCATAACACAAGCCTATAGTGTCCACTTTGGGACTAGGCTAATTGGTGTGAGGGTTGGAAATATTTATTTATTTAATCCAAAGAAAATTAAGTTTTAGAACTTACTCCAAAGTAAGTGAGAATTGAAGAAAAAATTATCTTTGGATACTGATAAACCTCAGGTTTAGGCAGTGAGTTCACTGCGAACTGCTCCCTCGTTTCGTTGTGATCGCACAGATGTGTTGCAGCTACCAACAATATCTCTCCAACGTTTTCCACGAAGAGATTACTCCACTTCTCGTTTTCCAATATATCTCTGGTCATTTGGAACATTCTATTCGCATTTAACATCATTTGTCTAAAGCGCTGGTCATTTTCGGCATTCTCATACCGCACTTTGTATTTCTCGGTGACGATAAATGGTAGACATAATACCATGAAGTTACTAAAACAAGTCTGAAAAACAACAGTACAATTAGAATAGAAGAAGAATGAATTTGAATTAGGTAAACAAATGACGGTACAGAAAAGTTATGATTAGAAAAGATTATGTGATAAAAAAAGTATTAATGTGGATTTCTGTGTGTTTCAAAGAACACGTGTGTCTACCAAACAAGAGACGGACGGATTTTATGAAATATGACCGAAGCAAAGTTTCTTTTCCATGTAAAAAGAATGGCAAACAAGCTCACGGCCCTCCAGATATCATAAAACCCACAATTCTATAGTATAGTCGCTTATGATACAAGAGTATCACTCGCGCATTACCTACCCTGAGCCCGTCCCCTACATCTATGAGCCCTGGAAAACTTATTAACGTACTGTAGGTTTCTGTAAGGTGGAGTTATTTGTGATAATATTTTTTTTTGTGGTGTGATTTTTTTTTTGGTGCAGGCAACCCAACCAGGATTAAAATCGGGCGATATCATAATATCTATACACCTACCTCAATAATGCTGCTTTCAGGTACTTTATACAATGCTTTCGTTTGACGTAATATTGAACTGTCATTTATATTCCCACCGCATCGCCACAATATATCCGCCGATATCAACCATTTCATGTGTTTGTCAAGGAATTCAGTTTGGTCTTTTATATTAAAAAATTCCAAAGGCAAATTTTTCAAATCATATTTTTTTGAAAACCAGAATTGAAGAATCGAAAGTACGTGTTTATTTAAATACACATCTATAGTTTTGTTATCCAATTTTGTAGTAATAATGTTCAAAACTTTTTTCACCATTCGCTTATCTAATGACTTCTCATTCTGTAAGCTCAGTATACAAGTGATTATATTGCGCAAAAGCGTTTTTTTCGCAGTTGCAATTACCACAAAGCTGTGCAATACTGTTAAAGTTCTGTTGGATGATTCATCTTTCAATATAACTGGTTGCCTTTCCGGTACCTAAAATAGTATTTTTCTTTTAAGAATATAAAAATAAAAACTTCAGTTAAATGGCACAATGTATAAAAAGTACTTACATTACTAAATATGTCAGATATATCAGATAAATATGTCCTAACGTCAAAATATGAACGATCAGTTAGTTTTTCGAGTAAATAACAACAGTATATGCGCATGCAATGATAATCCCCTTTCGATTTCTTAATAATTGATCTCATAAAAATATCTTCTACGTCGACAATTTGTCCAGAATTCAATAATATAACTTTGGCTGCACATTTGAATATCAAAGCGGCTAGAGGAGTCGGGTAGAATAACTTTTCGCATCTCTCCAAGTACCCTCTAATCATTATAAATGTGTTTTGTTTCATGTCGTCATCGTGTGCCCACAGGAGTTCCAACATTTTATACAAATTGGATAATAAACTAAACGATGCATCAGGAACTCTAAATAGGTCTTTACACAAATGTTGCATGAAAACAAAAATCGCATCTGCAAAATAAATAAAAATTACACTAAAAACTATAAACAGCAAAGAACTCTAGTAAGAGAGCAGCAGAATTTTAAATCTTAAATGCTGAATTTTTGTTCCCTGGATAAGATTTATTAGTCTAATACAATATAATTAGCAGACATAATGAAGAGTTACGTTAATTTGTCATGCATGTTCATTTGACGTAACGGATAACATTTTTTATTAATTAGTAATAATTTACTCAACAAAATAAATCGAAGAAGTAGGCTATAATTGTGATAGTTTCTTAGAGGAATTCATGTAAAGGTTAATCCGCTTTTGTCAGTTAGTAACACAATTAGCACTATAACAACTTATCTTAAACTGGATGTAGATTATATAATGTTGACAATATTAAAATGGCTTTACCTAAAGGTGGTTCGTCCGCCGCGCCAGGAACATTCAAAATTTCAATACATCGTAATGCACATTTTACGTCCCAAACTAGTGTGAAATTGTATAATTTTGAATCTAAAATCAACTCTAATATCTCCTCTCTGTAATTGCCACGGATACGGCAATAGGCTGCTAATGTGTAGATGCAGTTGTACTTTAATGTCGTAGCATTAATTTCGCTCTCGTCACCATCGAATATTACGTCTTCATCGATTTCTTGCTCAAAATTCAATATATTGTTTGCACAGTGAAAAAATTCATCTGTTATCGATTGACGAATTTCCAATGAAAGCAAAGGGCTATATTCATACAGTAGGAGTTCTTTTACAAATTGTAGGAGCGTTATTTTCATAGGTGTTGATGAATTATTCTTCAATGTATTCACCAAAGAGACGAACATTAGATTTAAAGAACTTTTTAAAAGGTTATATAGTTGCAATTCCTTGACTTCGCGCACCGACAACAATTGCGACTTTATCATCACATCTAGGTAAATTATAACAATCTTTATAGATTGTGAATATCGTAACAAGTCCAAATTATTATTTTTATGTTGTTCGGCAAATTGACAAAGTTTATTTTCTAAGGTCATTTGCAAAATGTTGTTCATTTCAATATTTACTTCCGATTTTTCAGGAACATGTCCATGTGCATATATAGCCGTCGACCAATCGAGTTCGAATTCACTGAATAGAATTGACTTCTCGATTGAACAAAATAGAATATCGAATAGATTATCACCATTGGGCATGTGAGATGTTTGTTTATAATTGACGTTGTCATTTGCTGCAAGCCTTGACAGTAATTCTTTACTCGCTTTTCCTACACAAGCTGTGTCGCCTTCAATAAACCAGTATAAAATACTTTTTCTCTGTTCGAAGGAACTGCATTTGTTAAAGAAATTTTGAACAATACAGTTCAGTGTCTCCACCGTGCTGTCATTGACGGGCATCCCTTTCTCGAAATACAGTTTGATTAAAGGCTGCACACTTTGATATTTCAACATCTTAGTTTTCAATAACTTTTGCATTACAACGTGCACTGCTTTATGAGCTTCGTTTACTGATGTAGAGTTTCTGTAAAAAATATTGTAAAATTAGTCTCTTTCTGGAATGATTCGCTAAAAATGTTAATAAATTGAAGTGAAAAGGTAGCCGACTCTAGCGTATTGAGGCACTCGACCAGACATGACTCTCGGCGCCTGCTCGATGTCGATAGGCGGAAATTATTATTCTGCTTTTATTTTGGAGCTTTTATTTACCAACAGAACTATTATAAATTATGTTTAAGTACTAGTACCGTTTACTGGCAGTATTTTTCTAAACAAAGCAAAAGGTTGTACGACTTGTTACCGAGTGGTCTATTCGAAATTTGCGCGTAGTCAGTTATATATATTCATAGAAATCCAAAAAAGATGTTTTTGATGATTTTTATTCTCTGAAGCCCCAAAAATGTTTTTGTTTTTTGCAGGAGGGAAATATATTTATTATAATAAATGGGTGGCACTTTAAGACAACATTAACAATGTGATTTCTTAATTTGATCAAATTACTCATGTTTTCAAGGCAAACTAATTAACATTACTATAAAAAATACCGTACATTAATAGTTATTTTTGGTATCAGTGCGTGCGGCAGGTTGGTTATTACAAACGAGTAAACGAAGCTTACCATAGTCACGTGTTTGTATATACCAAGCCGCACGAATGTCATAGTGTTTTTCAACACATTTGCGAGAAAACAATACCTATACCTAATTTAAGAAATTAAGTAAACTTTTTCTAATAAGAAAATGGCGCGCATTTGCAAATGGCGCCATGTGCGGGTGGTGAAAAGTAGTTTAAAGTGAGATAAATGTATAAATTAAAAGGGCCTCAAAGGAGGTTCCACCGAAATTTAAAACAAAAACCGTAAAGGATACGCGCAATGTCATCCATGTATGGGAGTGTGCGGTAAAATGTTTAACTGCACGTTCCATTGTAATTTTGAACTTTCGAACAATACATACCTCCGTAAATGCATTTTTGAGCAAATGTGTTGAAAATAACATTTTCTTTGCACTGTACTTACCTTACGCAAGAATTCCATAACGATAAAAATCCTTCATTCAAATCTTCTGTCTTGCAAGTTTTTGATGAAGTTAAATTTTCTACAATCAGGCAAGTGATATCTTCAAGTAATGTCCACTCGAAATGGTGACAGTTGCCATTTAAAATTATCTCTATTATTTTGATTACGGACAGGTAATTCAAGTCACTAATTGTACCACCATATTTTTTAATGTACATGTGCACAATCCCTAACCTATAATTCAAAGAGAATATGATATTAAATACTAGCGGACCTGCTAGACATTCTCACGACTGAATATTTCCTATTAGTTCGGTCAGCAATAAGGGAAGCTAAGCAACTTTCGCAATGGCCAAGTCATAAGAAGAGTGAAATTCTCGATCTCCGATGTGTTTCGGAAGGCACATTGAGAACCATCGGAGTCTAGCTGCATCTACAGTCGTTAGCACCCACTAATCGGCACTGGACTGGACGGGATTGTAGTCCTTAAAGAAAAGCGTGGCAGGAATGAACTCATTCCACAACCCTACAGTGCGAGGAAGGATGTGCCTTTTAAACTGTTATTTATGTGAACAACCCGGCACTATAGTATGAAGATAAAACTTAAGGAAATAACATTTATAAATCATTAAAACAAGGATTCACTTACCAAGGAATATGGTGTAACTGCAGCTGATATATCAGATCTGCAAAATTTTTGTATCTATTTAATGCAACTTTCTGTCTTTTAGTGCTGGCACCAGATTCATTTTCGTGGTAATTCTCGGGTAAATGGAAGTTCTGTAACATAAATTTATCTTTCGAAAATTCTGTATCCCGCCATTGTAATTACTTATATAAATAAATAATAAATATATAAATAAATATTTCCAACACTATCACCAATTACTTAATTCATATGTATTCCGTAATATATACCAGTGTACTGGCCAGTGCAATAACGTCATATTTCGACGAAATAAAGAAGATTTTTTATTCACCTCATCAAATTAAAAGGAATTCTTTTTGTTCGGGTGCCATTATTGTGCTTTAAATAAAATGGCGTCAGATTCGTGACGAGTATATTTCGGACTACACCCTTAATATCGTACCTGGTAATAAATAGCAGCAGCCAATGAACAAAAGTGTGAATTGTGAGTCTCTGTGTTGTCATTGGGTTTTCTCCCTCTTTGCGACGCAGTTATTTCTAAAGTAATTATCTCCATAATGGTATTAACATGCCTATTCCAGGTTTCCCAATCGTACGCTAGGCTTCCATCTTCATTTTGCAATTTCCCAGCTGGGTGGTGGATAGAAACTATCATTTCAAATAATTTAAATAAGGAATTCTGAAAAAAATAGATATTTATATGTAAAAAGTAAATAAGCACTATATTGTGGCATCCTTAGATTTATAAAAAACGGGAAGATCCAAATCAACTACATAAGCAACTCACACACGCACACGTCTGTATGTAAATATTCAATGGAGCGAGCGAAATAGAACTGTACGCTTCAGGGCAGCGCGAGCGAAACGTCCGCTTCCGAGTCCGTACGGCTGAGCTGAATGGTTGTCCTTTTCTTGATAACAAAATGGCGATTTCGTAAAAATAACATTCACGACAAACCGTGATTTTAGAGAAAAAAATGTTTTTACTGTTTTACGAATAAGGTATTGCCGAGGCATTTGTTATTTGAATTATTTGTGTTCTTTATAAAAGTATCGAAGGCATTCTTATATCTTTATAACACAGAATATACGCAATATTGTTATATTGAGTGTACATGCAGGGTGTTTGAATGTCCAATTGTGACTAAAGCGAATTGTGGTCATGCACCATAATTTAAGCGGATCACTTTTGAGCCGCGAGTGCCGTATCTTCCGTTTTTGTTTTAATCTAAAGTGGCAAAAGTGGCATCACATGCTTAAGTACTACAGTTGTAAGCGATAAATAAAGGAAAAAGAGTAGTGCTTTAACAGAAGATATACATATTCATATGCAATAAAAATAAAGTAAATATACTCAAGTAACATAGTTAAATACAGTTCTCAAATAAAGAGTAAATTTCCAATCTAACCTTTTTCTTTATTTCTAAACTGTGATCATAAAATTTTGATATTAGAGGCAGGATACTTTCAGAGAACTCACACATCAATAAACGGCTTTCTGTCGTTAACTGAAAAGAGTAAAATTAAATTAAAGAAATCTTAAACATAAAAAGAAAATAGGAACACTGTGTACAACACTGTAATAAAATTACCGTTTCTAGTAAAAGGATTATGATTTCTATTATAATTTCTTGCACCTTCTTTTCATTATGTACTAGATGGAAACACTTTTTTAGTTTTGAAATGGAATCTCTCATTGGTGAAATTATTTGACAGTATTTATTTCCATTTTTAATGATCAATGAAGCAAGTCTTAGCTTGGTATAGTTGTCCAATTTTGAATCACTTGACAAACATATAGAAATACTAACATCCAGTAAATCTGAAAGTATAAAAAGGTGATCATTCTTTTTATGGCAGCATTTAGTTATTATACCTGATTAATTATGTAATAAAAGAATGAAAAATGCATTGCGAGGCTTATATTATGAGGATACTAGGAAAATGGATACACCCTGTATCCCCGGTGGAGATTCGAGGAGCATTTCAGGCTCCTCGCTCCCCGGCTGTGCGCCACCGCAGCCGGACTCGGACGGCTCCTCCCCAATGTGGGAGGGCGGAGGGCGTCGTGCCGTCGACTTTATAATGGAGTAATAAGGTCGATGGCACTGCATGGAGCCCCGGTGTGGGCGGAGTGCCTTACGTCCCGCACGAAGGCCCTCTTGCGGAGACCACAGAGGGTCATCGCGGCCCGGGCCGTGCGGTCTTACCACACGGTCAGCCACGGGGCTGCCTGCGTCCTCGCAGGTACACTCCCGTGGGAGATCGATGCCCTGGTTCTGTCCCAGGTGCATCGACACAGGGCCGCGGCGAGAGAGCGGGGCGAGCGGCCCGTTCGGGAGGAGATCGAATGGGTCCGCACCCAGGCGCAGAGGGAGGCTCTGCGCCGATGGGGCGAGGCACTCGCCAACACAGCCGCTGGCCACCGGACGATCGAGGCGATTCATCCGGTGTTGGAGGTGTGGGTAGTCCGCCAGCGGGGCAGCCTCACCTAACGCCTGTTGCAGGTACTGACCGGACATGGGTGCTTCGGCCACTACCTGCACCGAGTCGCCCGTCGGGAGGAGTCGACGCGGTGTCATCACTGCAACTCTCCCGACTGCACACGACCGAGCACACGTTGATCGAGTGCCTGGCCTGGCGAAATGAGCGCCGCAGGTGGCAGCGCTCGGCGGTGGAGCCCTCGCATTATCAAGTATGATTCAAGCCATGCTTGGCAATGAGAGGGCCTGGAAGGCTGCCGCCTGCTTCTGCGAATCGGTGATGGGGCAGAAGGAGGCTGCGGAGAGGGAGCGGGAGTAGGCCACTCCCCTCCGTCGTAGACGGGTGGGCCGAAGAAGGCAGGCAGCCGTGACTGCCGGTCTTCGTCGGTCCTAAGGTGGTCTGGGCGCGGCTTGGCCGCCACGTGCCTTAGGTGCCATTCGGCATTGGGCACCCCGTCTGGGGATTGCCTAGTACCCTAGCGCAATCTCCCAGAGGCGTGTCACCCGGCCCACTCGTTGGGCCGGGCCGGCCCGGGGGCGTCCCGGTGAAATGGCGCACACAGGCGCCGATCCCGAGACGCCCCCCTCAAGGGCGTAGGAGGGTTTTTAGTGGGTAGGACCGGCGCTGTTCCGCGCCGGGGAGTCCCTCACACGTCGCGCGTCTAGCCAGCGCGCGGTATGATCCGTAAATGAATTTTCCACCGACAACAAGAAAAAAAAAAGAAGGGAAGTGGATACAACTCACATCCATACCGGAGAGATTCACTACCAACAACAGCAACACCCACTGGTCAGTATTTTGTCTTGCGACACTGAGGTAATTTGGATGCAAAGATTTAGAACGATGCCCATCCGAGCTGTATATGACGAGAGATCTCTTTCTAAAAGTTGGACTTATCGGAGTGGACTGTCTGACCTAGGTAAACATAATGTTCACCAACTTCGAGTGATTCCTATTTTAACTTGAGCCTCAACATAGACAATGTATATGTCCATAAAATTATCCATTTATGTTACACTAGCTTTTGCCCGCGACTTCGTCCGCGTTTTCGTCGTTTTTCGTAAAAAAGTAGCATATGTCCTTCCTCAGGGTTCAGTGGTTTTGATGTGACAGACAGATTAACTTTCGTATTTTAGTAGGGAAATATAATATGTCAATCCACAATACTGTTAAAAATATCGCAATAAGGAACCGCAGAATATTATTATTATTAATAGCTGTGCCCCGGGACCATCAGCGTGTAACTCCTTGTATGTTATTATGTTAATGTATTAGTAATATTGTTTAGATCACTTTCACATGAGGCTTAAGTACATATAGAATGAAAATATTTCAGCGCAAAGCTTCCGGGTAAACTACGTTGAAAGTTGACCCGTCCAGCACGTGAACATAAAGATTTCTAGAACTGCTAACCCGGGAAAGAGCGACATATAACTGACCATGTGAAAAACAACTGACACCGAGATCTACTCCAGCAACACGAAAAGTCTGCCCTTGAGCCTTATTTATTGTCATTGCATAACTAGAAGAATTTCGACGCGGTCCGTGAGGGCCGCGGTAGCATAATTGGTTAATACCTATTTTACAAAATAACAACAAAAGAAATTCAAATAAACTATTTAAACACTAAAAGTCGCACTGATAAGCACGGTTTCTCAATATCAATTATTGTGATATTGTCTGTCAATAAGGTCGAACGCTCTGAACGCATCAACAGCCAAATATTGAATGAAGCTCGCTCTCTTTTTTTTTGTTTCCTCCCAGGCGGGGGAGCAGGTGAGAAATCCTCATGGATACCCTACAGCCGGCTGCAAGGTTATGTCAGACTCGTACTGACTAAAAAACAGCCGTAGGGGCTGCCTCTGGCCGGGAACCCGTGTCGAGCGCGGCAACCGTTACACAAAAATAATCCTTATAGCATGATTCAGTATTCACGTGCGACGGCGCGATGGCTTATTTCATGTATAAGTTTGGTGTTTCTATACTGAGTTCTATGATTTTTTTTTTATTGAATAGGTAATAATATTAACTTTTTTAAATTAGGGATGAGTGAGAGAGCATTATAAACGTAAGAGTAAACAAATATAATCAGAATACTCCGAACTGCTAAGCTATCAGGAGTTACACGTGTTATTGTGAGTCAACCATAAAAGATAGACATATGCTGTTGCGGGTAAAAAATGGAGTAACTTCTCACGTTTTCCCAACATTTCCCTTCACTACTCTGCTCCTATTGATTGTATCGTGATGAAAAGTATACTATAACCTGCCCAGGAGTATGAAGAATAATTGTACCAAGTTTCGTTAAAATCCGTCGAGTAGTTTTTGTTTCTATAAGGAACATACAGACAGACAGACAGACAAAAATTTTACTGATTGCATTTTTGCCATCAGTATCGATCACTAATCACCCCCTGATAGCTATTTTGAAAATATATTTCATGTACAGAATTAAGCTCCCTACAGATTTATTATAAGTACAGATTATTTTTGTACACATATGAAACCAAAAAAGCATGATACTAGTGCTTATATTATAACATATTCTTAACTGAATTGAAAATTGTTTTATCTACATAGTGATAAAATTTACATTACCTTCCCAGTGACTTGGTGTAATATAACCGAGATAATGATCACATGACAGCACATACTTGTACAGAAGATTCAGATATGCATCACCAATAGCTCTTCTCAAGCGGTTATTTTTTAGTATAAACAAGCAGGCAACCAAAATCTTGTCACATTTTAGGTAGGCTTGTCCTAGAAAACAAATAAATTATATTGGTATCAGTATGGAACAGAAATTGAAATACACTAGCTTTGCCTAACAACCATAACTTGCGATGGTGCGTTTTTAAGTTCGCGGAATGGGAGGGTAGATGATAAAAATAGGTTATCAGGGTGGCCACGACTGCAGCCACGCAATATTAGTATAAATATCATGTTTTGTCTTAATCGGGTCATTAGTCTTTGAACTATCGTCAAGCAAACTACTCCATTGGGATGAAAGTGTGATTATGGAAAAAACGAGTACCATGCCGTAATAAAGTTCCTTACCAAGCAAGGAAAGTCAGTTCAAAACATACTGGAAGAGATGGAATCTGTTTACGGGGACTCTTGCCCTGATACAACCATGGTTTACAAGTGGCACAGTCTCTTTAAATAAGGCAGGACATCACTTGAAGACGACCCACGGCCCGGACAGGCGATCCAGGTGACTACTCCGGAAATCATTAAAAAGAAGTCGAAAACTAATATTTGAAGATACCAGACTAAAGGAGAAACAGCTTGCAGAAATGGTTGGAGTATCGGATACGACAAATTTTCAAAATTCTAAACGATCATCTTGGCGTGACAAAGGTCAGTTGCATGATGGGTGCCAAGAATGGTCACGTCGTCGCCTCAAAAACAACGCCGCGTGGAGTGTTCTCGCACGTTTTTGGACCTCTGTAATGAAGATAAATAAGGATGGACTACTGAATCGAATTGTTACTGGAGATGGAACTTGGGTTCATCATTATGAGCCTGAGTCAAAACAGGACTCAATGCAGTGGCACAAAAAATGCACACCACCATCCAAGAAGTTTAGTGTCTTTTCTGATTTATAATACAATAATACTGGTACAATAGTTTAATCCCCCTTAATTATTTATTACACTGTCATAGATTTATGATCATAGTAAAAGCATAAATGTTATATTTGCATGTATAGCGTGTAATATCAGATACATTATGTGTGTTAAATCTATGGATGGTATTGCAGCATTAAATGCTTAGTAAAGCAAAAAATTAATTATTTTAATAGGCAGTTGAATGAGAAGTCTTGCGGAGTTCCTTTTATTATCAGCATGCAAGCTATGAATAACTCGTATGGATGATCGTCGGTTATGCACGTAGACATAAACGCATGTGATGCAGCATTTACGTTTAGGGCCGTATATGTATCATGTACGACTAAGGGCACTTTTTGACAGCCGTTTTTTTAACAGACACCAAGCAGTTGCGATACTTTTTTTCCTGACAACCCCTCGATAATAAAGACAATTATCCGATGAAAAAAAACTGTTGACATTTGATCTAAACGTGTATTATGGACTTTTGAGTCTATATCCATACTTTATAATCTTAATATACAGATCAGACTACTTTTTTGCGTCAATTGTAATTCAATATAATATGTTTTCTGTAGCATATTGAATTGTCATAAACATAATCTAACTCTTTATTTTGATGAAATAACTGCAAGTGAATCGATTATATTTTGATAAATCGATATGGTTATTATTAAATGGCAACACTGAGGAGACAATTGCCAAATATACAAATGAAATGGAAGTGAATGAATTACTAATTTATTATAGAGATTTTTGTTCAGCGAAGTTAAAGCAAATTATTTAACATGGTATTGTGAAAATTATAAACTTGATTTTTGATATAAATTAGGTGATAAGCCATTGGTCCTGGCTGCATCTGCAGTCGTTAGCACCCACCAATCCGCACTGGGCCCGCGTGGTGGGTCATGGCCCAATCTCCCTATTCCATCCATAGGGAAGGCCTGTGCCCCAACAGTGGGGACATTAATAAGCTGATGATGATGATGAAACTTAGTTATATTGAATAATCTACCTTTATTTGCTCCTGCTATACATATATGAAGTAAGCTTGTACAAAGAGGGCCAGTTACACTGAAAAATGTTTTTGTTGTTTCAAATTTTTCTGTTTCCTGAAACGTTAGTAAGAAAATTAACATACCTTGCAAAAATTATAAGGAGATAGAGTGCAGCCTAAGCTGCCCTGAATACGGACATAATATTTGTGCCTAAAATTGGTTTACTGACATAATAAATGTATTAAATAGATCAATAGAAATACAATAATTTCTTATCAAGGTCATTTAATGGTTTGGTTAAAAAATAGGGCATTAGCAATCAAATTTTTTTTATGAATAGTATGGGATGCAGATCTCTTTTATCAGCATAAAGATACATAATACTTCAAATGCTGCAGCTACATAATTTACAATATTTAATTTTATTTAAATTGTATACATTCATTTACATCAAACATTTGACTAAAGTTAGAGAAAAATATTCATCTACTACATTTATGCCTTGTATCAATACATAATTCTTGATTTTGGACATGATTTTTTTTTAATATCAAGAGCTTTGGTGTAAGTGGGTCCTATGGTATTCAAAATTACCTTAAGTATATATTCATTAATGTCATCAAATAAATCATTCCATGAGAATCCTCTTTTTTTTAGCGAGTTCTTAGACAGTAAAGATGGTAACGCATTTCTTGTTAACAGGTCCTTTAGAGCCTCCGCGCTCTTCTTCCGTTCATTAGCGCGATTGGAGGAAAGAGCAGAGCTGTGTTCTCTTGCCGAAGTTTCAAGATCCATTTTAAATATCTTTGAAATCAAAACCGCTAGCTCGAAATTATTTTCTCATAGTTGTATCGAGAAACTTAAGATATTATGGTTGGTTACTATTCTATGAAAATAAAATAACCTGTTTAATTTACACATTCACTTTCCTGTGCCCTATTTAAATTCTTTAAATGCATTCAATTTAATTAAATTATATTTTTTAAGTGATGGTTCAAAACTCTAAAACCGTCTAAAACGAACAACATAATCTTACACCAATCTGGCTATGAATGACAATGGCAGTGACATGACAGTGTCAATTTTTTTTTTTGTTGAAGTTCTCCCGTTTTAGGAAAGGCAAAGGGAACAATGCCCACACAGCCTGGTCTTTAATTAAATTAATCTTCTTTTTGTTTTTACTTTTTACATTAGAATGTCGGTGTGACGCATTCTAATGTTTCTTGGAGTGTTTGGCACGAAATGTATCGAGTTGGCTTTTTCGATAAGCTTCTGTGAGGTAGTCTACACTACAATAAAATTCTCACGTCCACTTGACCGGAATAGCGTATATTTTAACGATTCCACTAATTCTTCAATTACACAGACAGTTGTTACACAAAACCACACCAATTTTATTTCACAATATCCACTATGAACGAATTTAAGAATAATTGAAATAAGACGCCAACCGCACTCGATGAAATCCCGCCAAAAACTGACAGTGTCAAACAAATGTCAAAGTGACAACAATTTGCTCTCAAAAGCAAAGGAAACTAAGTCAATACAACCTTATCTTTAGATTTTTCACGTTCTTTTTTATCTTTTTTAAATAAGATATTATTAGTTCAATATGTACATTTTATTTATTAGATAATTAAGTGACATTTCAATAACAAGCGTAACTAAGTAACGTCATCACCACCCAAAGAGAATATATATGACACGCCTCCGCGGCCATTCCTGGCTACCGCACCAGAGGGGCCGGTAGCAACTGGTCTAGGTGACGTCTCCATACCTCACCACTATCCGTCGTAACTTCATAATGGACACGCCCCAGCCGTCGTATCACAGTGCCAAACTCCCATCTGTGGATGCCATTATATCTCCGAGCCTGAACACGGTCACCCTGTTTGAATTGTTTCCTTAATTCTATCTGCCTAGAGTCGCTTGCAGCAGAGGGTTGCTGTAACATGACATGTAATTTTGTTCTTATCTCACGCCCGAACATAAGTTGATAAGGTGACTGACCATTGGAATTCGGCGTACCTACGTCTCAACCGAGCCTTGAGAGTGTTCAATTTGTCGTTAATATCGCCTCCCTCCTCCGCCATTGCTCGCAAAGCTTTCTTGATAATTTGTACATAGCGCTCTGCTTGCCCATTCGTAGCGGGGTGGTATGGTGCAATTGATTTCTGTGTAATCCCATTGTCCTTCAAGAATCTTTGAAAATCCTGGGATACGAAATGCCGACCGTTATCGGATACTAATGTGTACGGAGATCCGAATGTAACAAATATTTCTGACAACTTTTTAATACACCTATTACTCGTAGTTGTTTTCGTAGGTATGATTTCAGTCCATTTTGAATAAGCGTCCACTAGGATGAGTAAATAGTAGCCTCCGATTGGACCTGCGAAGTCGATGTGAACTCTTTGTCATACCTCAGTAGGGTATTCCCAATGATGTAATGGAGCTTTCGTTCTGTTGTAATCGACACGCTCTGCAAGACTTTACTTTATTCTCGATATCTTGGTCGATGTTCTTCCAGTAAACAAAACTACGAGCCAGCAGTTTCATCTTCAACATCCCGGGATGGCCAACGTGGAGTTCATTTAATATATGTGTGCGTAACATTGGTGGAATCATTACACGTGTACCTTTAAGTATGCAATCATTTTGTAAGGTCAGTTCATTATCTTGATATGCGTATCTTCTGACTGATTGTCCTTGTTGTAATGCTTCTAGAATCATCTTTATTTCAGGATCATTTAAAGTTTCTTTTGAAATTATATCTGGACAAACTTCTAAGGTATTCATTTGTTGTAATTGGAAATGACTGCATTGATCTATTTTGTTTTCTTTGTACGTTTCAGTGGGAAATCTTGATAGGTAATCCGCGTTCGAATGTTTTGTCGATGTTCTGTACTCTATGTCATAGTCAAATCCCGATAGGTAATGAGCATAATGAAACAATCTCATCGTGCTTAGAGTGGGCAAAGTTTGATGTGGGTGAAAAATGGACGTTAGTGGCTTGTAATCGGTAATTAATGTAAATTTACGTCCATAGCAGTAGTAGAAGAATTTTTTAAGTCCCCAATATATAGCCGTGGCTTCTTTGTCTATCTGACTATATTTACGTTCGCTGCTAGATAGTGTTCTGGATGCAAAGGCTATGGGTCTTTCAGAACCGTCTGGAAATCTGTGTGATAAAACTGCTCCTAGTCCCATAGGTGAGGCGTCAGTGGCTAAGATCAAAGGTTTTGTTCGGTCAAAGTGTGTGAGTACTCTATCACTCAATATTTCTTTCTTAATGGCTTTGAAACTATCTTCACAATCTGCAGTCCAGTGAAACTTCGAATCTTTCTTCAGCAAGCAGTTCAGTGGGCTCGTTAAAGATGCTAAATTTGGAATAAATTTATTGTAGCAGTTTGCCATTCCGAGAAATGTTCTTAGGTCGTTTATATTGGTTGGCCTTCCAGTTGCCGCAATAGCGTTTGTTTTCTCTTTGTTTTTATGAAAGCCGTGGGAGTCTATGGTGTGGCCAAGATAATTAATACTTTTTTCGAAGAAATTGCATTTGTTTTTATTTAATCGAAGGCTGTTTTCCTTTAATTTTTCCAGAACTTGTTTTAATCTTTGTAACATTTGACTTTCCGAAGTCCCTTGAATGATTATGTCGTCAAAGAAACATTTTACTCCTTGTATTCCTTGTAGTAGCCGATCCATGAATTTTTCCATAAACTGGGCGCTACCTTAACACCAAACATTAATCTGTTGACTTTGTAAGTGCCTTTATGCGTACTGATTGTTTGTAAAAGGGAACTTTCCTCGTCCATCATCATATTTAAATAGGCTTGATTAATATCTAATGTAGTAAATAATTGTCCACCATTCATCTCAGAAAATATCTCTTCTATAATAGGTATAGGGTATTTTTCATCTTTGAGAACTTTATTAAGCGTTACCTTGTAATCCGCACAAAGTCTGATTGTTCCATTTGGTTTCACTATTGGTACAATCGGAGTTCCCCATTCTGCGTAGTCCACTTTGGTTATTACTCCTTCTTTACAAAGACGTTCAATTTCATCATCTACTTTTGATTTCAGAGCATAGGGTATACGTCGAGGTTTGATAAAAATAGGTTATACGTTTTCTTTTAAGTTAAGATGTCCCTGAAAATTTAGTATTTTACCTAAATCAGATTGAAATACTGTCGATGAGTATTCTTCCATTTATTTATTAGATAATTAAGTGACATTCCAATAACAAGCGTAACTAAGTAACGTCATCACCGCCCAAAGAGAATATATATGACAATCTTCATCATGTCCGTGGGGCCCAGTGGGGCCGCACATTGGTCCGGATTTTGAAAAAAGTGGACATTGGAAATATACAGTTTTAAAAATACTATTAGCATATCTGGGCATGAACTCGTTAATCCATTAATCGTTAATTAACTAAGTTAACATTTCTATCAATGGTTAACTTTTAAGTTAACTTTAAAAAATGTTAACGGACTCGTTAACTTTCGTTAAATTATCCTAAGTCCATTAATCGTTAATTCAGTACCTACTATTAACCAAAAATATACCGCGTCCTGACAAGTAAGTTCGGACGGGCCAACAAACAACGACAAGTGCAGAGCGGCGCCGATGCGTGCCAAAACCACTAATATTACCGTGCCAAAACTATGTAGGCATGAATTGGCGGCGCGTGTGATCTTTTCAATTCATTACTAGCGAAACGCTTACGAGTGACGAGTGTTTTAGTTGTTTTTATTACCTAAATTTTTTTTAATTTTTTGCCGCAAAATGTTAACATCCAGTTGTGTTAATTACGGACTGTTGTCTTGGGGAAAAAGTTTAACCAATACAGTGATTTAGAACTACATTTTCTTAACACATACCAATTTAAACATTTGCGATCGGACGGTCTTTTAAGTATTTTAATATTTTTTGGACTTTTAAGCTAAGGATATAGAATAGAAAATTTGAGATAGTTACTTGACCCACAGAAAAATAATTATCTCATCACTTATGTTACTGTTTGGACACACTACTAAAAAATATTTTAGAGAAATTTAAAAAATCAAACAACCCGACTACTTAAATATTATTTCAAATAAAAACTGAAAAGAAAAAAACAAGTCCAGTAGTCTATAATTCTGTTATGTAAGGAACAAAGCTATTTTAACAGTCGGGACCCATTAGATATTCAAGAGTGGATATATTTTTTAATAATGGGTCCCGACTGTTAAAGTAGCTGTGTTCCTTACTTAACAGAATTATAGACTATTTTTTTTACTTCGTCACATTAAGGCGCCTAATTATCCCCATATTCAATTTTGATTACTATCATATTGATATATTTAGTAGCACTCCCGTGATTAAGACGAATCGATTGACGTATGAATCATCAAAATCGGTCCACGCGTTTGGTCTCTAGTGTGCCACAAAGGAACATACACATACTTAACAGTTTATATATGTATATATAAACTGTTAAACACTACGCGTCCTGTCTGCGCGTCGCGCTTCGCGCTCTTGCATTGCGCAGTCGGGTAAAAAGAGACACCTTCCACTAATTGAGGTTTGCTCTTCGGAACGCTTTTGAGGGTTACTTAAGCATTCCAGTTCGTATATAAGTTCCTTGGTAAGGACAAATTATGTATGGTAAATTAATGATAAAAATAAATTTATTCACCTAAACCAATAATTACATTAAAAACCATTTTTTCTGAAATTACAGCTTTGAAGACTTAATTACCTACTAAAAGTCTTTGTCTTTGTTAAGCTGCGAACGAAAGGTCGGATAGACAGACTTACAATTAAAAATGACTGAAATCAGCATTGCAACCCAAAAATAGTACAACAATATGAGATCAAGTTTCTTTGAAATTATAGATGAAAAATTTGCTCTGCAAAGAGATAATAAAAACTATGGTTACGTAACAAACAATGTTTGACAGAAACATACAAAAGAATTATTTCTGGATTAATATAATTTTATAAAATACAGAAGTGGTTACTATAAATCGCTCTGAAAAAATATTTTTACTTTAAAGAATATAGAGTTTTGATTGTTTTAAATAAAAATATACATAAAACTGAACTTATTTGTGCTTTGAAACTTTGGGACTCAGAAAATAATAAGAAGATGGCTTTACCTTGGCATATACCTTTAGAAACTGCTCCAAGTTTAAAAGAAAAGGTGATACCTCCTCAACCATCCTTGCTAAAACATTATTGTAATCTTAAAATTCATGAAAATCCCATTGAGGAATTGCAAACTGGCATTATGTGCAATATAGGAATGGATAATCGGGAACCTACGGCTATCCAACGATTAATAGCATGTGGAATGACGGTAGCCAGATTAGAAATGAGAGATTTCGAACCTGATGTTTGCGCACAATTAATTCAAAGCATACGACAAGCTGTATACAACTACAGCGCAGAATTACAATATGTTTATCCTTTAGCTCTTATTATGGACGTACGTGGTCCTAGTATTGTCACAGGTTCTTTAAAATCTGGTACCGAAGCCACTATTGAGTTAGTTCAAAATAATTCTATTAGATTGACATCCGATATTAGTTGGCAAGAAAGTGGGACATCTGACTGTCTCTTTGTGGGTTATGATAATTTAATCAATTTACAATGCGAAGATGTAATCTACATCGATAGTTTGTCGCAAGGTAAAATCAAATTAATAGTTTCTAATGTTGGTGACGATTCCGTAGAATGTACTATCGTAGTTGGCGGTATCATTGGTCCAAAAATGACTGTTCGCATTGTTCAAGTTCCACAAGAACGAGAGAATCTGCGGAATGAAAAAGGTGACAGCTTACAAACAATCTCCTGTAGCGAAACGTCGCAGAAACATTTTGAACATATGGATGACCAAATTGCATGGGCCATTGGTGCAGATGTAGATGCTCTGTTAGTTCCCAGTGTTCAGTATTCCTATGAAGTACGCCAAGTCAAAGATATATTGTCTGAAAAGGGAAAACATATTCTTGTCTTTGCAAGTATAGAAACGGTCCTTGGTTTAGATAATATTGATGATATATTGAAAGAAGCTGATGGCATTTACCTCGACCGATGCGTTCTAAGCACTGATCTAGCTATCGAAAAAATATTCATGGCTCATAAAGTAATTTTAGCAAAGTGTAATTATATCGGAAAACCATGCATATGTAAGGCGGTCATTAATGAACAAATACCTACGTTGAGTGTCACCGACATTGCTAATCTTGTAATTGATGGTGTTGATGTGATATCATTGGAGCTTCGTTACAATTCACCGTTAAGTAAGTTTTCTAAATCCTATGATCCTATACGTATGGCCGAGCATTGCTTAGCAGCTGCAGCTGTTGTTAGTAGACAGGCAGAGCACGCTTTGTGGCAACCAAGGATATATGGCAATTTAGAGTTAATGCAAAGTCCATTAGAAGAACCCACTAAAGCAGTATGTATAAGTGCTGTAGAACTAGCGATGCGATCACAGGCAGTTGTTATCTTGTGTCTCACAAACTCGGGACGTACGGCAAAAATTCTTTCACATGCAAAGCCACCTTGTCCTATAGTAGCAGTTACTCGCATCTGCCATACCGGGAGGCAGTTACGATTTTGGAGAGGAGTGAGAACGGTTCATTATTTTGAAGTTGTTGGTGGAAATTGGAATTGCGAAGTTGAAGCTAGAGTTCGTGCTGCTCTAGATTATTGTAAAACAAAACGTATTCTCCGAGCAGGAGATGCCTATATAACTGTGACTGGTTCTCGGCGTGGAGGTGGATACTGTGATTCTGTTAGGCTTTTATATGCTAGTGCCAGGGAAACTGTAATTATTGATTGAAGATTCTGATGGTGCTTAAGTTTGTTTTTATTTTATCAATGATTTTTTGTGATTTATATTAACTTCATAATTTTGCAATAAAAACAGAGATCGTTAATAAAAGGTCTTATTATTAAACCATAAATGCTTTTATCTACTTCCTGTGCTACTACCCGCTAACTAGATTGCAAAAAAAGGAAATCCCGGTATGTCGACGGTATGATGTCTACGGGTACGGGTACGGCCACAGTTGCCTGCTGCCACTATGGCTACCCTGCTTAAACTACACTGTTTATTTCTCGCGCTTGTTTTCTGAGTCTGAATCTGCGTGCACTGTGGCCGTACCCTACTGCTAGGCACAAACCTGTCCAAAGATGTCTTTTGAAAGGGTGGGTTGCCATTAAACGTCTTAAAAAAATGGCCTACCGGCAGCGGCACAGCTTAGATACCATATAAATGTTTTTATGTACCTATATCAACACATTAATGATATCTACTTAAAAGTATTACGAACGATCTTACCCGATGTAAATCGCACTTCCTGCACTTTCCTTAGTTTTTATGTATCTTAATACACATAATTGCTTCTATTTAAGAGATTTACGATCAATCGATCGATCTTTCCCCGATGAAAATCGCACTTCCCGTACTTTCCCCTAGCGTTTTCCTGACTCTTTTGGATTCGTTATGTAGTTTCTTGAATGAAAGATTATTGGGGCGTTGTTAATATTTTTATTGCACACTCACATGTTAACAGCTTACAGCCATGGTGGATACCGGGGAAGAGAACGAGCGGCCCTCGACATAGACAATAATAATTTATTTTAACCATAGACTACAACATGCCCTTTTTTCTTTTAAGACAAATGACAGTGACAGATGACACTGACATTTATATGTTGACGGATGACATTACAAACATAACCCTACTTTGCGTTAACGCAAAGTTACGTTACAAACAATTTAACAATTTTAAAATACATTGATAACATTATTTACTTCTTAATTTATTACAAATTATGGGCATTAAACTTTACATAAAATACTTAATTATTGTGGTGTATGTCAACAATACAAATTTAAAATTTACTTAGTCAATACTTAAATGAAGTACATGTCAATATTATATTATCAATTATACATATTTTATTATAGATTTAATCTCTGTTTTTTCTTTAATAATCTTCCCTATGAACTATATTTTCTTTCAGCATTTATAGCGTCGTTATTGTCATTAACATGTAAGGGTGATATTTCATTACTACTACAACTTGGACTAGATAATTCGCTTGGACTTTCAAGTAATTTTTCTATATTTTTACATTGAGAAGACATATGACTTTCATTTTGATATTCGTTGTAGTCATGTAGACTCTCCGGTGACACTATAGGTTCATTGGCATTTACAAATATTGGAGATTTTACTATATTTTCTGACTGACTTTCTGACATGATTTCCGACTGACATTCAGATTGGTTCAAATGACTTGACTCTACTGATAAGAAAGAATCTGAGGTGTTGCTCAGTATTGGACTTTGTGATCTTGACTTAGGGCTTGACTCATGAGTGAAGATGAAAGTGCAACTATCATCCTCCTCTTCAATAATTTTTGACTTTTGACTGATTTTTGATTTGTTAATTTCTTGATTTATTACACTTGGACATTTTACTTCTTCAAATTTTACTTTTTTGCTGTTATATTCTGAGACATTATTATGACTAGACTTTAGACAATTTGACTTGTAATCAAAGCGAATATGCTGATTATTCCTACGATAAGTTACATTGTTACCATCTTTGACAATGAAAGATCTCGGGTATTTTGTTTTAGAAACGATTTTACCTTTTTTCCATATAATATCTTTCCGATTTTTCTTAAAAAATATCTGATCATTTATGCGAAATTCAGGATAATTTTTACAGTTTTTGTTGTAATAAGATTTTGTTCTTTGAATGTTACTTTGTTTCTTTTGATAATGTTCTGAATGCTTAACAATCTTGGGTCGCAGATTACCCACCCTGCAGGGCAATTTAGATCTTAATGTTTTTTTTTTTTTTTTTTATTCGGTAATAGGTAAGCGCTTGACCATAATTCGCCTGATGGAAAGCAATATTATAGTCTACGATGGAGCGCGCTTACCTAATAAAAACCGGTTCACTCTTGCTTTGAAGACCGCTAGATTGTAGTGCTCGGGGAACAAGGGCTCAGGCAAGGAATTCCACAGTTTGGCAGTCCGCACGATGAAGCTGGACGCGAATCGCTTAGTGCGAGTCTTTGGAACTGCCACCGTGAATCGATGTCGCCTTGCCGTTTCCCTGCTCATCCGGTAGTAGAAAGGGGCGGGAGGAATTAGCTCATGTAATTCCTCTGCGCACTCACCGAAATGCAACCGATAGAACACCGAAAGACTGGCAACTTTGCGTCGATGTTCCAGGCTTTGTAACTTTGCCCGGCAAAGCGCGTCATTTCCAATGAGCTTTATCGCTCGTTTCTCAATTGCCTCCAACGCCTCAAGTTGGTACTTAGCCGATCCATCCCAGAGGTGCGAACAATACTCCATGCACGACCGAACTTGTGCTTGATATAATGTAAGCAACTGTTCCGGCTTGAAGTATCGTCGCACCTTCGAGAGGATACCCAACTTCTTGGCTGCTAATTGGGCCTTGGACTCAATGTATGAGCCAAAGTTGAGGGTTGGTGACAATGTAATACCGAGTAGCTCGAGATGGTCGCTGATCGGTACGGTTACATCCCGGAAAGTAGGGGCCAGATTAAATGGCGTCTTTTTTGCGGTGAAAAGACACGCCTGGGTTTTCGCAGCATTGAACCCAACTAAATTGGCATCGCCCCAATCGGAGACAGTCAAAAGAGAAAGGTTCAAGCGCTCGACCATGGCCTCCCTATGGGACTGGATTTCTGTCGCATTGGCTCGCGCGGTGGATATATAGCTCTCTACAACTGTGCTGTCGTCTGCATACCCAAAGATACCGGGTCTTAGCAGATCGTTAATGTGCAGCAGAAACAGCGTTGCAGAGAGTACCGACCCCTGGGGGACACCGGCATTGATAGCCCAAAGATCCGAGGAGCAACCATCCACTACAACTCGAATTGACCTATCCCTCAGAAAGTCCGAAATCCATGCACAAAGCCCAGTAGGCAGGCCGTATGAGGATAACTTGCTAATAAGACCGTCGTGCCAGACCCTGTCGAAGGCTTTGGAAATATCGAGAGAAACTGCTAGAGCTTCCCCGTACTTCTCGATGGCTTCACTCCATATGTGCGTGGCGCACGCTAGAAGGTCACCCGTGGACCGATTCCGGCGAAAGCCGTATTGTCGGTCGTTTAGGAGGTCGTTACATTCTAGGTACGCCAGGAGCCTGTGGTTCAAAATACGTTCCATACTCTTACAGAGTATGGACGTAATTGAAATAGGCCGGTAGTTAGCAGGGTCAGCACGACTACCCTTCTTGGGTACAGGCTGTACGTTAGCAAGCTTCCAAGAACTCGGCACTTTACCAGTTGCAAGGGACAGCTGAAAGAGGCGCGTCAAGACAGGAGTCAACTCAGGCGCACATGACCTCAGAACAATGGCTGGAATACCATCGGGACCACTAGCTTTATGCACGTCCAGATTGCGCAGCGTTTTTCGTACCTCAGATTGGCGAATTTTGAACTCTGACATTTGAGTCAAACAGCCAGGAGGTGAAAGAGGCGACGCGCTACCAGCATCGAGGCGCGAATACTCCGCGAAAAGATAAGCAAATAAATTCGCTTTCTCGTCATAGTCCGGTCAAAATAGACATTCAAGGTTACATTAATTCGCAACCAGCTAAAAATTGGCATGAATGTTGGGAACCCTGTTACACACAATTTGTCAATTATCCACATGAATCCAACGTGTGGAAAAAAAAATAGTCAAGGTCAAATGTTGCAAAAATCGGTTTTTTGAGTTCTCCAGCTAAACGGTAAGTTTTATCATAAAAATAGGCGAAACAAAAATTATTTATCATGCAATTATCTATAAAATTTGTTTAGACACTTTTTTTCCTAAGAATCATCATTTCGGAGATATAGCGATGTAAAAAGTTAAAAAAGTTGTGTTACTCATAATATGCACACGTTTCCGCGCCACGCGTGAGGTAGTGTAAATGGTGCGTTTTATTTTTCCGTGGTTTCCCCGGTAGGCCTATTCCACGATCTATTGTGGTTCTGTTGAGTTAAAAGCTATTGTATTAAATTGAAAATGGTACTATTGTAATGACAAGGGCGGTGTAAGTAATGAGTAATTTGAGAAAATTATTCGTCTGATTGATACTCTTCTAATGGAACATAATCCATACTGTCTTGTTCTTCTTCTTCTCTTTCTTCTTCTTCTTCCTGCTGGGTACAAATAAATTGTTCAAAGAGCGATGCATCAGATGTCTCCTCGCATATATCGTAAGAATCCTCTTCTACTGGCGATTGAATATTGGAGCACGATTGGCCTCGACAACTGATCTAATGAACAAAACAACATAACTTTTTTACAGCCGCATTTAGCATTACACCCCGTTTTGCGATTGCAAAAAATTTAATTGAGGAGTTTTTCTGGTGCAGGAAGAAGTAAAGTCTTAACTGGTTCCAATATATTGTCAATTAACTTCCAACCCCAGTCTTCTGGGTTTAGTTTATTACCGAGCCATACTTGAACTTGATAATATACCCGAAATAGATGTTGCCGAGCAGAAGCAGAGGTTGGAGGAAGACAAGCTAATTGTACTTGTTTTTTGACGTGACAACGTCTTAAATTAGGTTGCGGCTGGGAGTCACTTATGAAAAAGTGTAACGCTCGGTAACGTTACGATGAGTCTCTCGTGTTAAGTTTAAGTTTACATGTACAATGTTTTAGTAAACAAAATATATTTCTATAGTTAAAATTTGTGCAATTCTTATTGACGTGACAACGTCTTAAATTAGGTTGCGGCTGGGAGTCACTTATGAAAAAGTGTAACGCTCGGTAACGTTACGATGAGTCTCTCGTGTTAAGTTTAAGTTTACATGTACAATGTTTTAGTAAACAAAATATATTTCTATAGTTAAAATTTGTGCAATTCTTATTTTCATTCAATTCCTTGTTCCTATTGTGCAATTTAATTAT